GAGAGAGAGAGAGAGAGAGAGAGAGAGAGAGAGAGAGAGAGAGAGAGAGAGAGAGAGAGAGAGAGAGAGAGAGCCATACTGATACCACACGGACCCCAGTTAGGGCCCGGTTCTGTGGTAGGCACAGGTAGGCCTAGTTACCAGGTCACAACGGTCCCAGTTAGGTCCAGGTAGGCCTAGGAACCGTCGGTTCAGTCCAGGGTCCGGTAGGCGTCGTTTGGACCCCACCAGACCCAACGGCTAGTTAGGCCAGATGCCGGTCCATCGGTTGGACCGGCCAGCGGCGCAGTTTAGGCGCCACTCTTCAGATTCAAAATCGGATCTGAACCGTTGGGTCTGATCAACGGTCGAGGCCCGAAGGCCCTCAGTAGGACTGAGGCCGGCCCAGCACTATATCAGCTGGGTACCAGCCTCAGTCGGTAGGTTAGTAGTGCGGAGGTTAGTCTTCAGGATTAGCGCAGGGCTTCAGCGTTAGCAGGACTAGCGCAGCGCTTCAGCGTTAGCAGGACTAGCGCAGCATTTCAGCGTTAGCAGGACTAGCGCAGCATTTCAGCGTTAGCAGGAGCAGCGAGGAGAGAACAAGCGCAGCGGCAAGGAGGAATTAGCGCAGCAGCTGGAGCAGCGCCAGCCACCGGCCCAGCCCGCGGCCCAGCGCCAGCCTAGCAGTGCCATAGCTACCGCATCAGGTATCCGGGAGGAAGGTCACACCTTTCCTCCCCCCTTTTTCTCCCCCGCTCTCTCTCTCTCTCTCTCTCCCTGTCTCTCCTCCTACCCTCTAAATCTAAGTCTACTCCACTGGACCACTATGAGTACGAAGGATGGCGATGAGTTCTGATGACAGTTGAGATAGTAGCATTGACTCATTGGTTGAGGACTACTTCAGGGATCCGACTTCATCTACTTCTGGAGATGTATCTTGATATTGGGAGATCTATATCTGGGACACCGTGAGACTCTGTTTTCACAACATTTTGGATTTGCGTTACTTACAACTTTCTGGACTCATGGTGTTGACGTCAACTTCCCTCGCTTCCTCCTTCGTCTCTCCTCTCCCTCCATTCGTCCGTGTATGATCTCAGACCGTGGCCTTTTCTTCTGTGTCCAAGGCCAGGGCTTTCACACCACCGATGTATGTTTGTGAGTGTTTCATTGCAGTCTGAGTCAGGTCTGAGTCAATCCATGTATCTAAAGTCTTCCTTGTATTAACTCTGTATTATCTGGTTGGTTCTGGGAATCTGCGCCATACTTGTGACTCTGTTTCACGAGTATGCAACAGACACACACACAGAGAGAGAGAGAGAGAGAGAGAGAGAGAGAGAGAGAGAGAGAGAGAGAGAGAGAGAGAGAGA